ACATTGTTTACATGCCAATCCTTTTTCCTTTATCACATTTTCGTTGAAAAACAATTCAATGGTCGATGCAATAGTCGAGGACTGAAAAATAAAACTGTTTTATATTTTCCCATTGTATTCCACGCTTCACTTATGCAACCAGCTCTAAATCTCACTAGAGGCCAGCTAAAGCTGGAAATACCTGCTTGATAATTTTTGATTTTTATTAACTGATGTGCAGGGGAAAGGGAAAATTTCAAAAACTGGGCTTCAACCAAAACCTCGGTTGGTTCTCTAATAAAATAACTAGGAGTGAATTTTTTGTGAGTTCGATTTGTCAGGATAACCTTCAAGAAACTCAAGAAGTTTCAAAAAACGGTCAAAAAATCGAAAAATTGAATTTCCGTGAGTCATAACTTTTTGTTTAAAAACTTGAGCGTAACCGCTTACGCAGGCGAAACTAACACAATCCGTTATACCCATTGAAACCAAAAACCTCAGATTTGGGAGGGTAGTTCTCGAGAACAGTCAAAAGTTTCAAAAAAGAGTTAAAAAATCGAAAAATCGACTTTTCCGAGGGCCATAAACATTTGTGTAAAAAAGATTTGAGCATCACCGCTCATGCAGGGGAGCTTCCCACAACTTTTTCTATCCATTCAGCCTATAATCCCAGATTTGTGAGGATAGTCTTCGAAAAAAAGTCGTTTCAAAAAAGGTTTAAAAATTCGACTTTTCCGACGGCCATAACTTTTTGTGCAAAAAGGTTTGAGCGTAACCGCTTACGCAGAGGACCCTCTCACAACCCGTCCTTTCGATTGAAACTAAAATTTCAGATTTGGGAGGGTAATTTTCGAGAAAATCCAAAAAGTTTGATATAAATAAGGCTCAAAAAAAATTCAATTATGTTTTTCCCGAGGTTCATAATTTTTCACGAAAAAATATTGGGCATAGCCACCTATGCATGGGAGCTTCCTACAAGCCGTCCTTTCGATTGAACTCAACAACTCAGATTTGAAACTGACTTTTTTGAGGGCCATAACTTTGAGTAAAAACTTTGGGATAGTCGCTAACGCAGAGAAGCTTGCCACAGTCCACGCTTTCGATTGAAATTTAAAAAGCTCAGATTTGGCACGGTAGTTTTTGAGAAAGTAAAAAAAAACAGTCCAAAAATTAGGGTCAAATATTCCCCTTCAGAGTTTTCCGAAGTCTGTAGATAGTGCGTAAGGTAAAAAGAGACTAGTGGATTATGCAGGCACACAGGGGAGCGAGCGGACTTTCCATTGGTACCACTTTTGTGAAAATCGGTAGAGTAGTTTTCGAGAAAAACTAAATTTTTGAAAAAAAGTGAAAACATTTTCCAAAACGTCGCAAAATTTTTAAAAAAAAACCCACTCCCATACATTTCCAGAATACCTGTTTTAATCAAACAGGAGTTTAGGTTTGACACAAGGCAAGGCATATTCCAAAGAATGCTGGACAGATATACGTTCAGGATGTCTGCCAGCTTAACTGTTCAGGTTTTTATTTAATACGGCCAATAAAAAACTAAGATTGACAACCGAGACAATTTGTCAAAATTGTAATTTTAGCAAAAAAGATAGGAAAAAATGTAAATTCCAAAAGAGTGCACAACGGTTTCTGTGCAAGTCGCACAGAATGTTCTGACCACTGTTATTAGTGCTAAGGTGATTATTCAAGAAAAACAGACCCGTTTTTCCCGACAATTTTCATGACAATATAAAATTTTCCTTTTACAAAATTATATACACAGAGGCGAATCTGCGCTTCGCAGAGACGCGCGAACACGACAGAAAGCAGCTATAGTTCTAAAAAATGCAATAAGAAAAAGTAAAAATAAGCCTCGAACAATTTTGGTTCCACCGATTCGAATGGTCACCGTAAGGCTACAACCCTGTTTGCAGGTGCGATTTGAGAGCAATTTGGAATGTCTAAATATAGTTTTTGATTATCCGACTGAACCCTTAAGTTTTGCATAAGCCGTTTTTGTTGATTTAGATCGAAATCATTAAGACCGACTAAAAAAAACTTATTAACAGAAATCACTATCGCGGAGATAGAGGCCTCTAAATTGATTATCTAGACTGTCTTAATCAGTTGCTGGGCATTGTATAACAACATTTAACAAACTGGTAAAGTCTAGTTTGACAATCTTGTTGGAAAATAGTCTTACTAGCTCACTTATATTTTTTCAAAATAGTTATGTTCACTACAGCCTAAGTTTGTGATGTTCTAATCCGTGTATCACTTACAAGATGCTTGATTATTTCTTTTGATGACATGAAATTATTCACAGCTATAGTCGTATGTTGTTCTCTAATGATTTTTGGTATTTTTTTGTAAACTAGGCAGCATTTCATATTGATAATGTGGTCGTATGTAGCTTTTATATACTCGAATGAAATGTTCAATCAACATTATTCTAGTTTGGTAGAGAAATGAAATGAATTTTGCACATCTATTTTTCACATTTCGGATATAATCAGTGAAACTCAAATTGCGATCAGTTTGAATTCAACCTCTAACTCGTTTCATGTTTCAAAATATTCCCTCGAAGCTTAATGCACGTTTTTTTTCTTTGAGCTTGAGAATACAATGGTTTTGGTTTTGTCCTTTGAGCTTGAGAATACAATGGTTTTGGTTTTGTCCTGGTTTATCTAAGTTTATTTGCTGCCATCCATGTTTCTATGTGTTTCAAATCCAACTCGTAGTTTTCTTCCAAAACTTCGCCATTTATATTATAGTATCATCTGCAAAAATAGCCACTTTGTTATTTTTTTGGAATCTCAGCGAGACCATAGATTGAAAGTTAAAATGAAACAGGCTAAAAAAGCTCTCTGAGGGACCGTGCAGTATTTACTATTGAGTAATCTTTGTTTGATTCATTTGGTCCAACAAATTGGTAACGGTTCTCAGGATAGGAGTTCAGAATCGAAGAAATTTTTCCTCTCAATCCGTAGATTGAGCACTTTTGGAAGAAAATCTCATGGTTCACATTACCAAAAGCTTTTGATAAATCAATGAGTGTGCCAAAAACTATTTTTTTTGACAAAAAAACTTCAATTGATTCGAGAAACTCCACGATTGCATCATCTGTTGATAGTTTTGACAAAAACCCTGTTTATTCGAAAACAAGTCAATTTTGTGACAAAATCTTACAATCATCCAGCATATTTGGTTTTTCTAAAACTTTTCGGAAGACTGGTAGAAAAGATATTGGCCTGTAAATTCTGGATGAGATTCTTTTCTAGTAATCGATTTAAAAAAACTGTCAAATTGTAACAGATCATCGGATTAATTATTTTTTTTGAAAAAACTTGAGTCCCTAGCAACCATGGCTTTTTAAGTTTTACAAACTACCATTGGTTTCCCAAATTTGGATTGATGACATGTATTCTCTCTTTAAAACTGCTGATGATAAAGTTTTGCTGCATCTGTAATCTTCGAACAACAAATACTTAGCGATTGTGGGTGGTATAAGCTCGAATGAGTGAATTGTCATGGTCTCCAAGAAATTGTTGTGGTGTCATATTAATTTTTATTTTTCTATTTCATTTTGAGTCGTTAAAAATTGAAATTGGTCTCTTAAACTGTTCAGTACAACCTAACCATTAAAACCTGGTTTCAAAAAAACAGCTACAGCTCCGCCTCTTTTGGTTCTATTGCACGGGTATACTTTTTCATAATCACTTGATTAAAAAAAATAGATTCGATGATCCATTTAACAACGTTTCCGCTAAACTGAAAGCTATCGGTTTGTCTACAAGGTTGGTCACGTTTGTTTCAAGTTTTCTGAAATTGTGCTTCAGAGAGCGAATATTTTAAATCATAATTGATTTTGTTTCTCTTTTTTTGCTCAAACATGTCTCGCGCGCTTTTAGTTCGGAAAGACTATTGCGAATTTCATCAGTGAATTGCTTGCAGATCATTATCTAGTTGACCGAATAAATTATGTTTTGAAAGTATTCATCGCAAATCGCTTCCAACAATCCATTTTTCCACAATCACATTTGAGTGATTGGTGATTTTGATACTCAATACTGCCTTACCGTTATCGTCAATCCCTTCCAGTTTATTTTAAATATTTGAAGGGACTGAGTTTTTGCTGTTTCATATTCGTTAGTTGCATTCATGGGAAATCGCTTCCTGCCTTGTAGTCAACAGTTTAAAAACACTTTCAGTAACATAAGCCCTGCCATTTCAAATACTTACTATTTGAATGGTCATCTTAGCGAAAATCTCTTTAGATGGGCAATTTTTTTAAATAGTTGCATTCAGCGAAAATCGCTTCCTGGATCGCACATATTTGTTCTGTTTTACAATCATCGTTTTTCATCATCAACCTAATTGAGAAAATTAAAAAAAAAGTATCGTGCTTTCTGTTTTTCGCTCATTTAACGCGTTCAGTTTTGATTTCCGTCAATTTCACAATCAGCGGAAATCACTTCAATTGAATTAGAGATATCGTGATTCCAATTTATTAGACTTAATTAGTTTAATTTTAAAACTTTATCTGTAAAAAAAATTTAAAGATATATAGAAGCGAGAACCAAAAACCAACCAAAACCTAGCCTATAAACAGACAAAAACTACCCCAAAGCAATAGTTTTTTTATTTAGGGAAAAAACCGACACAAGAAAAGTCGCTCCCTGCGCAAGTAGCGCAGAATTTGAATGATCTTTCGACCACAGAAATCAATGCTAAAAAGGTCAAAACTGCCTTTTCAACTTTAATTTCTTGAATAGTTGTGATTGAAAATTATTTGCTTAAAAATACTTGTAGAAAACAGGATGAAAATATAATTATACTCGAAAGGAAATTAAAAGAACATTGCATTTCTCAAAGTGATGAGCAATTTTAGCACAATTGCTTCTTCATCTACCATTGGAGAGTTGAACTGTTCACAGAAACTTCAAATAAGCAATAAAAACTGATTTCCTTGACACTAAACAGCTTAATAGTAGTTTAGACTTCAATCTCAAATAGATGTTCAGAAAAAAAAATAAAAATTGAAAATGGATTGCTGACAACTTTTCACACAAAAAAAAAACAATCAAAATAGACTTTAATGTAAGAAAACAGATGTTATTTACAAATTTACATTGCTTCAATCGAATTTGCACCAATCAATCGGGGTTTTGTTTCGTTCCGATAAAAATTCGTTGCATCTCTTAAAGTGATCGCAGCCGAAGAACCCTTTGTGCGCAGACAATGGCGAAGGATGAACGGCTTTTAGTACAAGATTTTTTGATCTATCTACACATTCCGCCTTCTTTTGAGCAGGTACGCCCCATAAAAAGTAAACTACATCTTGGCAGTTTTTGTTCACGAGTCGAATCACAGCGTCGGTGAACTTCTCCCAGCCCTGTCCCTTGTGTGAATTAGCTTTATGCGCATCGACGGTAAGAACTGCATTCAGAAGTAACACTCCTTGTTTCGCCCATTCTGTCAGTTCTCCGTGTTCTGGATTTTGGAAGTTCTCGGGAAACTCTTGGCTTAATTCTTTGAAAATATTTTTCAAGCTCGGTGGTGGTAAGACGCCTTTCTTGACACTAAAGCAAAGGCCATGAGCCTGATTTAAATCATGGTATGGATCTTGTCCAATAATGACCACTTTCACAGACTTCAAAGGGCATAAATGAGACCACGAGAACATGTCTTCATGCGCTGGAAAGACTTGATTTGATTGACGTTTCTTATCAACAAACTGTTCAAGTTTCTGAAAATATGAGGAGCTCAATTCTTTCGCAAGCTCCTTTCGCCATGATTCCTCAATCAGGGAACCAAAACGCGAAGCTGACTGTGACGAAACAGCTGTCATGTTTTCCGTTCGCACTTTTTTGGCAACAGGAGCAGAGCTGGATAAAGATTTTGAACAAAATCCATTCAGACTAGATTGCTTTGATTTCGTTGTTGCGGCTTCTTTTGCGCGTTTCATTAACGCTCTGAAAAAAAAACTATTGAAAGGAATTCTAATCTTTCATTTCAATCTCAAACAAAAAAATATTGCAAAAAATGACCCAAGGAATTAAAACGATAGATACTATTGGACAACAACTTCCCACATTGTCTTTGATTGCTTTGCTTCATTGTTTAGTTTTAAGTCATTTAGATTATACAGCAATAAGTTTAGAGCAAACTAATGCATTCATTGATGTCCTTAAAAGAAGTTGAACTGGGCTTCGAAATCAAAATTGAGGTCAAAATTTCAATTTTCTGCCGCACTACGGAAAAGTAAATCATTTATCGGAATTGAGAAAAAAATTGAATTGAAATGTGTTAAATCTCTATATCAAAATCTTACAAACAAAAGACAAGCTTTTGCAAACGAATTATTGAGGCTTCCGACAGCGATTTATAGAACAAATCAACGAACAAAGCAATAATATTTGATAAACCCTATTCAACTGCTTCTCTACAAAAAAAAATTTTACTCAACACGTCAAAAAAATGGAATTCGTTCCCCAAAAATTAGGAAATTTTGCTATAACCAATTCAACGCTCAAGAAAAACCAAAAGAGTTCTATACTATTGAAATGAAATCTATTCATATTTGTACGTTTACAAATACATGGCGTGGATTCCGTTTTCATATGTTGATTTGCAATTATATGTTCAGTTATGACGATGTTTTAAAAACTTTACGCTGTTTACCTTTTTTACGGGTATACAAATAATTGTTTTTTACTTCACATTTTCATTCTTAAATTGATTATTTTATTGATGTAATAATTTTATCTCATTTCATTCAAACATATGAGAAACTAAACTGATTTTGTAACTAATATTTACTTTACACTGTTACTATACTAATAAAACGACTATTGTGTATAGTAATTTAAGTGTTTCTTCTTCTTCCGTTAGATAGGTCCTTGCACTGGCTGGACAGGGTCATACCAGTTTTATATATACATAAACAACCTGTTTATCATTTCATGAAGCTATAAATCACCACTACTATAGCCAAAATCGCTTACAGATATATATAGGTAGTAAATAGGGACGGTATTTTTTCGCGGCGCGTTTCTTCGCATTTTAATTCTTCGTTAGAAATCTAAATTCGTGCTTTTTACCGCGTTTTTCTATGAATTTCGCGAATTCAGGCGCTTTTTTGGTGCAAACGAAATTCCGCCACTGCTCAGCTGAGTAACGGTGAAACAGCTGTGACTTTGAACTTGCTTTCTTTTCAACTTCTGCCATGGGCAGCGATTCTTCTCCAACTTCAAAAAAATTGAGTGAAGAACGGGAAAAAAGTCCCCGGAGCTCCTCGAAGAACTTGTTTTCTAATACTTCAATTAGTAGAAGACGGAACACAAATTTTAGAAGTTTCATTTTTTCGCATTTTAGATCCGCGTTTTTTGCCGAAAATTTCAATAGTTTCCTCCGCGTTTTTCACGTAAGCAGTGAAAACTTTCCGCGAATTTTTACTGTCTCAGGTAGTAGTAGAAGTAAAAACTACTAGGACGATTCTCCAGTATTTTTCACTCTTCTTTTCATCTGGCACAAGTTTAAGTTTTTTCAGGGTGTAGCAAATACCGCAAGTGCATATCACTCGCCACGTGTATGGGTTAACCTCGTTTAAATTTTCTTGGAAGAACGTTTGATATAGCTTGGTGATTGAGATTTTGTCTATTACCACATCTGAATTTAGACTCGGTTTGAAGTACACGACAAAAAGCAGCTCTAAGTTCTAAAACAAGCAATAAGAAAACACAAAAAAACCTCGAAAATTTTTTTTGGTAGCGTCGATTCGAGGATTCTTTTTCACAACGCCAAAACTTTAAAAGGTATTCACAACGCCGAAAATTAAAAAGCTAATCACAGCGCCGAAAAATTGTTCTTTCAAATTACAAATTGAAAATTATAAATTAACTGCGCCATAAGTAGTAGTAGAAGTAGAACAGGATTTAGGGTTGTTATCTCATGGGTTTGCACCCAAAATGTAGTTTTAGTGTTAATGAGTTCTGAGTTTTCCATTTGGGTTACAGTTTCCACATGGACACGTTATTCGCCATGTGCAGCTGTCAATTTCTGAGTATCTTTCGAAGAATTTCCAATAAATTTCCGCTATGTCAGATTTCTGTATGTCAGTTAACTGTATTCAGGTATGTCGAATTATGACATTGAAAAGTGCTGGGCATCTAATGAAGAAGTCTGAGTTGGTTTTCTTAAGGCGAGTTTTCGGTATTTGATATTCGTTTCTTTCATTTTGTCTCGATGAGCTTTTGGTGTTTTCGGCATATTGGTTAATGTCAATTTCGTAGTTATTGCGAACTACAGAAATGAACAGAAGGAGGTCGTGCATTTCAATGTACAGAGACAGCGGCAGTATTCTTAATTTTTGTAGTCTCACTTAAATGGGATATGTGAGTTAAGCATCCATTTGGTCGCCGTTCCTTGAACCTTTTCAATTGCTCGGAGGTTTGATTTCGAGTAGTGCGTTACTGACGCGCCATAAACTACAATTGGGGCTACATATCCCGTGTAGGCGTTTAGCTTAGAAGTTATTGGACAGTTTTTAGAGAGGTTAGGCTTTAGTGAGTAAAAAATCGATAGCGACTTCTGACAACGCTTAGATGCATTTACATTCCATGAGAGAGTGGGTGTTACTAAAATTCCTAGATCCTTTTGTTCAGTTTCGATTTTTAGGATATTTCCATTAATTTGACCTTCCAGCTCGTTTTTGAAATTAACGAGAGTACATTTTCCGGTATTTAGACGCATTTGATTTTTACTACACCAATTTTCAATTGTCATAGTAGCATAGTTCATTTCTGTTTGAGTTGTTGCTATAATCTTTAAGTCATCAGCATATCCAAAAGAGTCAACTAGATTCAAGTTATCTGGTAAGTCGTTTATATATAATATGAAAAGTAATGGTCCCAATAGAGAACCTTGAGGGACACCACTTGTTACCTAACATATCTTAGACATTGCTTTGTTTATTCGCACATACTGTTTTCGAAGAAATAAGTCAGAACCTATTAGTTGAATTGCTTTTCCTCCAAAACCATAACACTTCAATTAATGCATTAAAAATTGATGCGGAACGCAGTCACAAGCTTTTTCAAAATCTAGATAGAGCGCTGTTATATTTTTGGTAGATTGGTCATCATAATTTAGGTATACTTGATGTAAGTAAGCAAGGAGTTGGGTAATTATTGAACGTTTTTTATGAAAACCATATTGAGAGTTATGAAGATGATGTGGCACTCTTTCATAAATGTAGTCAAACAAAACCTTTTCGAAAATTTTTGAGATGCAGCATAATAAACTTATCGGTCTGTATCTTTTAATATCGCATTTGTTCCCATCACTTAACTTCCACGTTTCTGGGAATATACCTTTATTCAAAAAAGTTTGAAAAATTAGGAGGACTGATTCTGATACTGTTTTCGCTAAGTTTGTGTAGACAAGATTTCCCAAATTATCTGGACCTGTTGCTTTATTGATGTCTAGTTCGAGCATTATTTTCTCAATGCAGTCTTTATTCAGCTCGATGTGGTTGTATTTTGCTTTTTCAAAGATACTTAATTCGGTTATTTGTTCCACTTTCGTACAGAAGAATTGATTAAGCGCATCGCATTTTTCTTTGTCTGTCTCAAGATCTTTGCCGTCAAGTTTCATTATCGAAGGTAGTCTAGATGCTCTTCTTATGCTTCGCAAATACTTCTGAATTGTACTAAACTTTCTTAGTGCAAAAATCTCTAATTCGTAGTTTTTCAGATCTTCATCAGCAGAAATTTTTATTTTTTCTTCTAAGTTTGTAGTTTTAGATAGAATTTCTGGTTTCGGACAGGATTGCTGTTTCCGAAGTAAAGTTTTTTTGCGCTTAATAAGGTGGGAGGTTGGGGGTGTGATCCAAGGGGGGAGTGTGGCTCTATGTTCTGTTACTCTAGGTATATTTTCTTTCAGAATTCTCCAAAGCCAGGTGTACCATTGATCAAGTAAAAAATCGCAGTTACTAAAGCAAAACGGTGTGAAGGGATTATTGATTAGTGTAGTATTGATTGCACTCCAATCTGCTCTTTTGAATGCATATTTTACTTTGTCATCACTTCTTGTTTCAATTAGCTTTTGGTTCAGATTGATTTCTGTTGTAAAGGCATCGTGATCACTGAGGTTCTTACTTTCTATTGAATACATTTTATTAACATTTTCATCAATGAATGAGTTAATGATTACCTCTACCCAGCCGTTTTCAGTTTTTCTAATTAATTTTAGATTTCTAATCGCAGTTGTGTGCTCTCGAATTTTCAGATTGAATGAGATCACGTCTTGTTTTAAGCATGTTGTTTTCGATTTCCTGTTCATCAGGTGTTAGCTCTTAGCTCAAGCACAGTTCAAGCTTTCGTTCAAATTCCCGGCTCCTCAGCGGTAAGACCGCTTGACCGCCTGGATTTGGTTGTTGTACCTTCTCCACTTTTTTACCTGGAGACAAGGTAACTTTCTGCTTTCCATCAACCGAAAAAAAATTCTTGTTGCCGTTCTTGTTGTTTCAAAAAACTATGAGCCAACCAAAAATTGCATGGTGATTACGTCGATTCCACTAATTGCTCAACCCTTTGCAATAGTTGGTCGTTCGACGTCTTGGTCCGCGTTGATAAACGTTCCCTATAGATGGCTCGAAGGTTATAATCCAAGTTCGGTTAAGTACCGTAGGGGATCAACAACTTGGCGAAACGCTTTTGTAACTCCCTTAGTTCCCTAACTCTCTAATAATGGGATATATTAAGAAATTCCGAAGAAATGGCATTGATCATACCACGTTCATAGTCAGTAACAATTTCAGAAGGACTGAACCTTTTCCAAGGTGAATTATTTTTATCCGCATAATTGCAATAACGCGGCAGTACTGGGCCGCAGTTTTCCCATCTATCAAGGTAAAAACTAGCGGCAATAAGCAGCAACTAGAGTTAATCGTCTTGAAAAAAGTTTTTA